TTCATCGCTTTGACTATATGTAATACAGTTGTGGTAACTGCACCAAATCAGCCCCGACAGAAGGTGGGTTAAAGAAACAGCAAAACAGAGTTTAAGCCCCTTTTGCATTGATGCTAATTTATCTTGTAAATTGGAGAAATGAAAACCTCCTGTTCTAGTGAGAAACAAGTAGACTAGTTATAAGACAACTCTTAGAACCGCTGTGTGACTGAGCGGGTTTAGTTAACCATTAGTTAAATGGAGTATGTCAACTATTTCACTTACCTTCAAGGTAAAATATGCTTTCATTGACAATTTAATAAATGTAAATATGTGTGTATGTGTGGGAACTAATTTGCAAATGTGCAAAACTTTCCAGAAAAGAATATAAGCTGTCTGTGGATATTTTGAACATATGGATTAAATTAAGAAAAGGCTGAGACATTTTTTAAAAGTTCAAAATGAGAATATACTTGAAAAGCATCGCTTAAAACTTTCAAATTATGTAAAAGATGCATCTTAAGCTCATTATAAGAAATAATGATCATTACTGCTTAAATCGGCCTAAGCCAGTGTCATTGATGAATGAGAATTTCAAAAATGCAATCCCAAGATGATCTGTAAGACAAAAATATAATGGAATGTAGTATTAAAGCTAGCCAGCAGCTGGAATTTCCATTCTGGAGAAAATTCTGGGAGTCGTTTCTGTTCCAGATTGGAATAAAAAGTGAACTAGTCTGCAAAATGACATGGTTTTGTGCCAGGGAAACATTTGGAGAATGCTCAGTTCTGCTGTTTCAGGAATGCTACACTGTTATACAGTAATTTAATATATATCACTATGAGTATGCTATTACTATTAATAACACTGTATCTGTAAAAAGATTTAAGTAAACAGAGATGAGTGATAAAACTGAAGCAAAATGCTTTGATGCTGAAAGAGAAGAGAGCGGAAATTATTTCAACATGTTCCTATTGAGAATGTTGTTGACATTGGCATATTCTCATAAAACTTTTCTGATACCACATTCTCAATAGAAAGCTCTTCCATCAACTTTCTTTTACTACCTTCACTGAATATGCACAAAGAATGCCAATGTTTCCTACTAACGATAGGTTTTAGTATGCACTACTGGCGGTGGTGCAACTTTGATAGTCTATCCATTAGTCATATCTGAGGAGGTGAAAGAAGAAAAAATGTTTTTAATACAAACATACGTGCTTTCACACAGAGGCACAATTCTAAAGTTCTGCTAAGTTTTTTGCTGTTGAGTCAGTTTTGTCCATTTACTTTCCTTTCTCAAAATACAAATGCCATTATTTCTTGTTCTCAAAGAAATACTCCTCTTTAGTTGGAGCTGCTTAGGCTGAATATCAGTGTCAGAATTCCTGTACAGCTTTTCTTTGGTTTTTGTTCATTGGTTTGTTTTTTACTTCTCAAGGTTAGAGATCGATTTGAACTAAAATCTCCAGTAAAAACCATAGAAGACTTCATACGAAGATTCACTCCAAGTCGCTTGACCTCTGGATCTAACAGCAGCAGTTCATCTAGTCTAGCTACAAGCAAATCAATGCACAGATTTGGCTTAAGTGTGCTTTCATCTACATCTACAGATAGCACTTTATTAAAACTGGAAGAGAAGCTGACATACTCTGCGCAGATGAATAACAATGGCTACAGCACCCAGCAAGGCCGAACAGCTGTGGGGAGTGGACCTGGGGAAGGCGAACTCCGTTATGAAGCGGAGAGTCCAGATGAAGCTGCTCTCGTCTATGCAGCAAGGGCATATAACTGTTCTCTGGTTGGAAGGCTGTCTGACCAGGTATCAGTGGAGCTACCTCACCTGGGAACATTAAGCTTTGAAGTATTACATACATTGGGCTTTGATTCTGTCAGGAAGAGGATGTCGGTAGTCGTCAGACATCCTCTCACAGATGAAATAAATGTTTACACTAAAGGAGCAGATTCAGTTATTATGGATCTTCTTCTACCCTGCTCTTCAGGTACATCTCTTACTTACCTTTGTGGGATTGGGGGTGGGAGGGAGGCAGTTCTGGTTAACTGCTGAAAAACTCATCATATCTTATTGCCTTCTCTGCTTTTGTTGTGAATATAGGGAATGGTAGAATGGCAGTCGTCTCTCTTCTTTTATAATACTTTTGTTATTATAGCAAATTTTCCATAACAAATGACTGGTTCCTCACCTTGCAAGAATGAGTTAAATTAATTTCTGTATAAGATCTTCTACTAGCAAACTTTATTTTGAAGGAATTTCTTGAAACTCTGCCAAAGCAATTTACATTTCTTCATGAAAAACTGCCTCGCAGTGCTTAGCTATTTGAGTATTTTATATGAAACCCAAGTACTTCCTATTGCAGCTCCCCTCTCTGTTTCATTTGTGAATTTTTACGTCCTTTTGCTGCAACACGTTTGCATAAATCAACGCATTTATGTTGGTTTGGCTATGACACTAAAGGCCACTGTGAATCGGTCAGCCATCAAAACAGAAAGGTTGTGGCAAAAGAAGGAAAGATGCTGTTCAGACAAGAAAACTTGGCTTCAAATATGTAGTTGACTAGCAGGGAACAGACATGTAGCTGTGAACATGGGGTACTTCCCTAAAAGCATGGAGAACTTCTCCAGCACCCAGATGTCTCATGGAACAGGGACAACTTTAAATAGCTGCTAATTGTAATCAGTTGGATTCAGGAAGAACCCTGTAAGCTTTCAGAAGTTAGACGAGACACACAGGTTTCAGTTTGCATGAATCAGTTTGCATCTAATTTACCATATTTTTGACACTGAATTTAATCCAGTGTTTAAAGGTTATGCCAGTATAAATGGACAGAGCCCAAAAGTGCTAGAGGTACTTCCCATGTTTCACTAATGCATTGACTTTGTGGTTACTTTGACATTAGTTGGAGTAAACAATTGTGAAAGGCTTATACTATGTAATTTTAGTTTAATGAAATACAGAAAAATGTAGGCATTAGTTTTCTGTTTACAGCCATATAAATCAAAGCTGAGCCAAAAAAATTAAGAACAACTTGTCCTTAACTAACAGCAAAGTATTCATGAATAATTTTCTAGTAAAGATCTGATATCACAGAAGGTATATAGAGCATCTGTGGAAACTTGTTTCCCTCCGAAGTACTAACAGAGAATTTGTAGTACTGAGAATTTCTAATAACCTACCTAGAAAATGATGTTTGGAAATGAGTTCTCAGAATGAGAACTGAGCATTAAAAAAAAAGGTTATTTTATGCCAAGTCTCAAATATTTTGTCACCATATAACAGACTATGTTTGCAGCTGCTGTGTCTGTTCACAGTAGACTCAACGGATCAAGGAATTTTCAGGCAAATTCCAGGCAGATCTAGGACCCACCTAGGTAAAACCAACAAGGCCAGTTAGAAACCAAACAGCAACATTACGAAAGGTGGTATATATCAGCGAAGGGGGAGTGAAGTTCCTGAGGATTGGCGCTGGCAGTGAACAAATTCTGTAGCTGGACAAATACAGCCATTCCACCATCTCTACAGGCAGGCAAATTGAAAGTGGCTTTGAAATTGTGCCTTTTTTTTAAAAATTTTTTTAGCCCAAATTGAACTATGAGTTTTAGTATATTTTGCTTTTGCAAGCAATGTAAAGTGCAGCCGCTAGAACCTCATAAGCAGTTTCCCTTGTTTTCTAGCTAGCCCTCTAAGCCACTGCTGGCTTCAGTAATTCTGTACCTTTCAACAGATCTGTCTGAAAAAGTTTGACATTTCTCGTGAGCAGCTTCACTCCTGGAACTGAATTCGTGATATCTGCCTGCAGTATCCTAATGTCAGTGGATATGTTGTCAGTTCCTGAGGGAATGGCATCTTTTTCCCATTACAGGGGGGTATTCCCCAGGTAGAGGGAGCCTCAGCAATTTTGTGCTGTGGCTATTATCTATACTGCAGGACCTGTTGGTGGTTTCATCCTGTTCTCTGGTGATAGTGGAACATGACTGTGAGAAGAGATGTAATACTACAAGAATTCAGGCATTTATCATTTCAAGGAACTGACCAATAAGTGAATCGACATGACAGCTAATCCCAGTGCTTGCTCTTTTTTATCTTAGTGCCTCAGGGACATGTAAATTGTACACCAGTCAAGCGTGCATCTTGAGACTTTGTGGTACTTGTGCTCTTAGACTGAAAGACTAAGGCAACACTGTGTCCCTAATCTCCCAACTCTAACATCACATTGCATGACTGGGTCTTATCAGACACAAATGTCCTGTTTGTTTGAGAGGAAGAGCATTTTAGAATATGACATGAGGAAGAGGCAGAAGCAAATGTATTATGTTGTACCTTCAGTTGTGTCTTGTAGAAAATCAGAAATCACCATAAGCTTCAAAACTTAAAAAGTTTCTGAATTGACTCAATTTGTTCTGCCTGTATATCTAGTTGAGACTGTGAAATGTGATGTTTTCCGATAGCTTTACAGATATTTCCAAAAGCCTTGAAATTATTCCCAAGAGTGTATTGTTTTTACTTTATCTCAAGAGTCACCATGTTCATAAATAAAGTCACTGTTTGAGTCAATAACCAACTCACACAGGAACTGTGAACATAAGTCATTGAGAAAACAATGACTGGGCTGGCTTTCTGCAGCTTGTGATTATGGAAGGAAGTGAAGCAAGCAGAACACGACTAGCATTCTATCATTCTTCTGGAGAAGACTTATTTGCTGATTTTCACTTCCATGGTGCACGTGGTCACACTGCTCAGCATAGACACTGCATCCCAGCTAAAAAGAATCTCCACAACTGCGTTTTGTCTGCAAGAGATTCCTTTCTTCCTTTTAACTTCTGAGCACAAGATGAATCTCAGGGCAAGACTGATGAGGCACATGAAGAGCTAGAAGGGGTTTAGCTCTCATTGATGTGCTGGTGGAGGAGGGAGATACAGTTTTCCACGCAGGAATTGAGAATTCATGTGGAAAATGGTGTGCGCATCTCTACTTGTAGAGAATTACTGTCTTTGTTCATTGAAGGTGGTGTAAGCATTTAACATTGTGATCACTGCATTAGTGCCCGTGGCACTCAGACAGATCTGAAGTGATTAACAACACTTAAAGTGATAGGAATGACTCTTGGTGTGTTTAAGCACCTATTCAAGTTTGCACCATTTGAAATCCGTGGGTGACAAATAGCCACTCCCATAACACAGTTTTGCCGGGGATATGCAAGAACTATGGCACTTCTCTCTGGAATAGTAATATAAAACAATAAATTAGGAAGAGTGCTTGCCTACTTTATTCTTCTAAAGTTAAAAAAGCTGACTCCCTAATACAAGAAGCCTACAAGAAGGTTTGCTGCAGTATTTGTCCCAGAAAAAAATTTCTTATATTACACAGCCAAGTCACATATGCCAAAAAGATTATTATGCACAAATAGAAAGGAAGCTAAATGAAACTGTTAGGTTGCCAGTTTAGTATATGCACATTTCTACTTCATGTTGCAGCTGAATCTTGTTGTGAGCTGGTTTAATAGCTTCTGAAGGAACCTCATGGTGTTTTTGTTGGAGCCACAAGCTATAGTGTAAGAAGGGGCTTTCCAGTTGCAAATAATATTTGTAGGGATATTCTTCTGGAATAACATATCTGTACTGATGCTTTGAGGAAATCTATAGCGATAGCATAGGTAGCATTAATAGATAGGTGGACAGGCCCACCAGAATATCCCTACCAGTATTGACCACATGACCTTAATCAGAGATAGAACTAAAATGAAGGAATGCTTGAAATACCACTGTGTTTATGGATTCCTTTAGGAACAACTGGGTCTGTACACTTCCAGTTTTACAGACCTAGAGAGGATAGGACAGTCTTTAAAGGTGAGAAAATAGCTACACAGTGAGTAAAATGTGCTGATACATGGTTGAGATAACAGGAACAAAAACCAGAATATTGGGATTCCAAGCTCCCAGCTCCTTCCTTCCTACAACATCAATACTTATACATGTTTGTGCTGGAGCCTCTGAACACCTGGTTAGACACTGCGCTGCTGTACAAATATGAAAGTGCTGAATGCTCTGTGAGTTTATAGACAGACAAATAGACATGTATATACGTGGTCACACATAGCAAGATCACATTGGGTATAAATGCACACTGGGAAAATGGGCAGCAAAAAGTATAAACAGTAAGCTATCTGTGTCATCTAATTTAGATACCTGTATTAAGTGCTTAATATAAGGGTATAGTGCCTGTAGTTTCTCAGTATGGTCAGTTGAGAGATGTGAGCACATCTAATGGTGAACTGAGATCATACGTAGTAGGTCTCTTCAGGTGGTCAGACTTCTGGTGATGAGTGGTGTTCACCTGACTTTCTGACTGGTTACTGTGCAAGTACTAGTAACACAAATATTGCATTAAGGAACAGCTCCAACTACAAAATTATAATTCTGAAATTATTCTATACTCCCAAAAAAACATGCAGACTTTAGAAAAAAAAATTATATAACATCAGGGAATAGGAAAACCTGCCATAAGGTACCGGTCATTCTCGCTCAATGGTTCCAATCTAAAAACTTACCAGCTTGTACATTTACTTTAGTACTAACCCTGCAATTCGTATTATTTAAGATTGCTACTACAGTACATTGTACATGAACCTGTCTTGATCCTAGATGATAAAAAGATGCGTGTCACCTGTTTTTAACTTTTGAAGACATCATTTCAGGTAAAGAGACGGAACAAAATGTGTTACCATCACATTCATTACTCTTTCTGAACACAGTGTGAGCACATTGAACCAATCCCAGCTAAAAAGAGAAAAGGAACAGATGCTCAGTCCTGATTTTGAGTTCTTACACATGGCTTTAAGTGAAGAGTAAAGCTAAGTGGAAGTTGTGCTGCTGCAGAAACTAGCTGTGAGGTCTTCACAAGTGTAAATTGTCTTCTAAATGAAATCACAGTCATACCCAGAACTTCTTGCATTGACTCAGGCCAATAGGTAGTATCAGTACAGCAGTAACAGAATTACCTTCATACACTTAGACATACGAAGCAGAGAACTGTTTCTGGTTCTTCTGAGATATTAACCTTGGGGGAAAATGAAGTGCTATGTTTAAGTGTTGTTTTTTCTGCACATGATGAGATGTGAAGAAGCATTTGTTAGTAATGTATTTGAAATCATGCTTCTCTTTCTGACATTATTGTTTGCTGTGAAGATTATCATGATTTCTTAAAGCATTCAGGCCAAACAAATACTTAAGGAGTAAAAAAAAGAAGGTCTTTCTAATGTACTTTCATAATGACTTTTGAAGAGAGAAGACAGAAAAGATAGAACAAAAAGACAAGATATTTTTTTTTTCTAAATGGAATGTTTTACTTGAGTTTCCCAGGAGACATCAGCAGCTCTTTAAAAGTATCAGTTATAAAGTGTTGGTACAGTGAGTACTGTAGACAAGTTTTTATTCTCTGAGGCCATTCAGCTGCTGTTAGTTTTCAATCACTAATTTCTTTTTTTACTCTTATCTAGATGACCCTCGGGGCAAACATCAAAAAAAAATCCAAAGCAAAACCCAGAATTACCTTAATCTGTATGCTGTAGATGGGCTGCGGACCCTCTGTATTGCAAAAAGAGTAAGTAAATGCAAACTCTTAGTTCGCTTTTAAGGAGAGTCTCAACAAAGATTACTGAAGGCATTTATTAATTTGTTGTTCTTGATTCATAACTTCTTTTTCATTTTATTCAATAAAGTATGAATGCCTCTGCATCACGTTGACTGTGTCCTCACATACTCTTTTTAATAGGTACTCAGCAAGGAAGAGTATGCCTGTTGGTTAAAAAGTCATTTAGAGGCAGAATCCTCTATTGAAAATCGTGAAGAACTTCTGTTTCAGTCAGCACTGCGGATAGAGAAGAATCTGCATCTGCTAGGTAATGAAATGAGAGCTGGACATGAAATTAAAATGTATTAAAAATTCTGAAAGCTTGGCAATGAAATCCGTTCTTTCCCTTAAATGGTTTCTGACAGTACAGAAATTGGCTTCTTTTGGACTTTGTCATGGCTGTCACGTGCAGCACCACAACGGAATGGGATATAATTAACATAACAGATATACCCTGTCTTCCTTGCTCCTGCCATCATTTTATCACTAGTGAAATGAGTGGAGTGATACCAGGGATGAATTTGACACAATATCATAAATGGGAACTGCTGCTCTAAATAGGAGGAGGAGTTGGCCCAAACTGGCTACAGAATTTCATTAGCTTAGTGCCACTTCAACATGTCAGAGACTTCCATGAGTCCAGGGGCACCAGAGACACCCATAAAGCAAAGCTCATAAACTGCATTTGTGAGAGGCATCCACTCTCATATACATCAGGTTCAGCACATGCACTCAGGGCCTGTGTATTCTGTGGAAGGAGATTGCAGTACTTCATAATGATGCAGTTCAAATCAGTGTACGTAAAATGTATTCCAAGAACTAAGTCATATTCTTCCTCTGCTGACTTGAGATGCTGAAAGCACTGAGATCCTAAAATGTATATATATTCACTATTACTCCAAGCATCCAACTGCTTTCTCTGGCAAAGAAACTGGGACAGCCATAACACTATTGGAGATAACAACCTTCAATAGCTGCCAACGTGCCTGTCTCTGGGAGATGAGATCCACCTCACCCAGCTTCTGATTTATCTACTACAGATCTCTGAGGGTCCCCATATAACCAATGGAGAGACAAAAAAAGAAAGTGCAGTTCATTTGGTCTGTCTTAGATACCCACTTTAGGATTAGATGAATGATGCCCTTGAAGTGTCTGTTTCTCTCCTCTGACTTAAAGGAGAGCATGAGGTGACTAATTTGGACCACTTTAATCAGGAAGATTCCACCATGGTTGTGCCTGTTGGCTCTGGCTGCACTCCCGGGGGAGAAAAAAAAAAAAAAAGTGAAATTGAACTGCTGGACAAATAAGTGAGCTCTAGCCAGAAGTAAAGTACCCATTCAGTCGTTCTCCAAGAACCTCATGCCATGGTTTGTATCTTGCAGTTATCAGTTATGATTAGGTTATGGGAATAAAAAAGTGAGTCTGGAAAAGGAATATAATTTCCTTTGTACACTTTTTGGATAATAATAGCTTTCCTAACATTGCCCTAAGAATGTGTTTCCACCTACTTGACTGGTACTCAGACTTCAGGTGGACTTCTATTGCTAAAATGTTTTTTTCAAGGAACAACCATAGGAATAATAAATAACTGAGGAAAGTTTACTTTGCTTTCCCTGTTGTTCAGGTAACTTGCATGTCACCTCCTCATTCTCTAGTAGTGAGGACTCACATTTCCTCACATTGAAGCCTCTCTGAAACTCAGTGGAGCCCTGATGTATCAGTGGTGACACTGAACTTGGTCCCGAGTGGCTTTTGCTACAGTATTTGAAAATCTTGTCTCTCTCTATTGATTTATGAAAGCATAGAAAAGATACTCAGTCTCCTATAAAGAGGTAGAAAGATACATTGAAAGCGTGAAAAAGCCACATTTTACTTTCAGATCATGGCCAACAGATTTATGATTTATTCTCTGCTATATCTCATTTGGCAACCAGTGTCTTTCTGCAAGGAAAAGGTTTATGTCTGCAGCCTAATGTGCTGTTGCCAAGCTGCAGTCCTGCTGTCATTCCCCTTCAAAAGGGAGAAATCTCTAGTGACCCAACATCTTCTAGTTGAGGAAAGGCAGTTAAGACCCTTAAGAACTGAAACGATCTCCTAGAAGCAACAATATCTTCTCTAGCAAGATTCAGAAGAAACGGTGAAGATACAGAGGGGAGACAATAAGCAAAGATACATCAGCATTGTGGACTTCTGAGACTAGAAGTGTCATCAGATTGCTGTTGAAGTTTTGAATTCTGGATTTGTTGTTGGCTGTTGATGCAGATGTTTACCCCATCTACTTTCCACTCGTCTTTTTCAATACCCCAAAAAGGCTGCCCGAATCTTGCAACCATTGGTAGTTTAGCTAATTCCCAATAAAACTTCTGGGGTTTTTTGAAAAATCCAAGCTTACAATTTCAGGTGAACCCTAAGTGTTCATTTAATGTGGAATACTTTGCTTTTTCTATGTGTTTAGGTGCAACTGGCATTGAAGACCGTTTGCAGGATGGTGTTCCAGAAACCATTGCAAACCTGCGCAAAGCTGGGTTGCAGATTTGGGTTCTTACTGGAGACAAGCAAGAAACAGCTGTTAATATTGCATATGCCTGCAAGCTACTAGATCATGATGAAGAAATCATCACTTTGAATGCTGAATCACCAGTAAGCAGATCCAATACACAAGTTTACTTGTGAACTAGCTTTGCTTTATTTTCAACTTGTACAATTAAAAGTTTGATGGCTTTTTTTTCCTTTTCCTCTCTTTTGTTTCTTCTTCTCCTGCTTCCTCCATAATATTCAGGTAGGACATGTCTTTGAATACTTTTCAGTGAATCATGCTTCTAAGTCATAGTGTCATGTATCATAAACTTACTGAAGATATGTAACTGTGTGTAGTGGGCTCCATGAATGAAAATATGCCATAGCAGCATAAATGCCTTTCTTTGGTATGCATTCTCAAAACATCCCTAGTTTTGCTTATTGACACTAGTGGGTCTCCAAAAGCAACCTGTTATTAAACATGTGTTGAGGAAGAAAACAATTGATTACCTATTGAGAATTTGTGCTTTATTTTACACCACTGAAATGTAGTATTTAGATAACACAGTCATTCATGTTTTCTCAGGTGGCTTTTTCTCTGGCGGTAGAAGCAATACTTAAATTTCGATGCTAACACTGAGAGTCCGAAAACCACTTCTAAAGTAATGCCTTGCTTCCTAACAGACCTTTTCTAATTCTTCTGAATTACTGATCTTTCCTGTGCTCAACTTGTTGCAAGCAGTCACAAAGAGTTTACTGATACGGTCTAACATACAAGGAACCAGACTGATAGTGCTATAGTCCTTTAATGGGTTGATAAAATTGGACTTCAGATCAGCAGAGGAGAGGTAGGCCAGCAGTATCCAGCTCCAATTTCTTTCAAAAAGGAAGAAAAGATAACAGCATTTTCCGTTCTTGAGTGTATCAACTGAACTGGTAAATTGATTTTCCATGATCTTTCTTTTTTGTCATACTTTGCTGTAAAACCAACGACATTTCATTTTAAAAGTTCATATATTACATCTTTTAGTTGAGTATGGCTAGAGAGAGAATTCAGCTTAAATAACCTTTAATTGGCCTTTAACAATGCATAACTATTTGATCTGAGTTGTAGGCGTGTACATGGTGTTCATCACCATACTTAACTTGGTACTGATACTGATTATATCATTTCCCAGCACTGTTATTCTGAGAAGGAGCTAAAAGAAATTAGTTTAGCATACTATACTGCGTATTAAAGAGGAATTAGATTTTAAGTCTTATGAGACCTCATTGCTGTCATATCCTCTGCAAGAATTAAGTGTTTAGAGCAAATAGAAAAGATTATTAGAAATTAAAACTTTAACAGTGCAGCAAATGTAACACATTCCCCATATTCCTTATGCCTAAGTATACAGCAAACACAAATGTTTGAATACATGTTCTTTTCTCTCAAGCATATTTATTTTGAATTTTTTTTCAGGAGACATGTGCTGTCTTGCTGGAACAGTGTCTGCAATGTGTAGAGTCTAAATTTTCAAACACCACAATAGACGAAGCTGCTGGAAACATGATTGTTGGGTTCACCCCTCTCTATCCACCCTCCTCCCCTGTGCTTTCCAGCTTGGGCCTAGTGATTGATGGAAGGACTCTAGCTTATGCCCTGGAACCTACACTAGAAGATAAATTTCTTGCACTAGCAAAGCGATGCCGTTCAGTACTGTGTTGTCGTTCTACCCCACTCCAAAAGAGCATGGTAGTGAAACTAGTCAGAGACAAACTCAAAGCAATGACCTTGGCAATAGGTAAATATCTCAGTTTAAACTAGCCTGCTTTGATATATACTGTGCCTTGAGAATTTTGATTTTTTGACTTGCAATGGGACCCTTCCAGCTGCCTCACAACTCAAGTAGCCTTCCAGTTTTGCCTGAAAATGTCGGACAACTCTAACATATTTACTCTAACATATTTACTCAAAATCAAGATAGAACTCTGGAGCAGTATTTGGGATTTCTTCCTACAGAAGTTAGGTAATCAGGACCCAGGTGTGCTATGAGGTTTTGGCATGTCCGAACACAGCTGTGAAGAATTGGGCTAGCTGATGCTGTGCAGAACACCATTTTCCAATCACTGTATTACACAGAACAACATTGTGCTCGGTGTTGTTTCATCCAATCATGTTTAAACTCAAGGTTCTGCGTTTTTCATCACAAGTCAGCCATACAGCGGATATGAGTTGGCCTCGTCAGTATAGAGAATGGGTTTATGACTGGCATTGTGCCACTGCTTTCACTTCTTCCCAGCTAATCACTTAGTTGGCAAAGGGGAGATTTTGTCAGTCACCCTGTTTTAAACGTGGCAGCCTCTTCAATGTTTGCATGGTTTTTACATAGGAAAAGTCAACCAGCTGTTCTTTCCCTATCTCAAGCTTAGGCTCACGTTGCATTACAAGACATGATTGCAGCATATTTTGTCACAAACACACTTTCATCTACCTGTCTTGGTTAATCATAGCAACACATGTGGGTTGGACATACCCCATGAGAAACCCTAAGTACATATAATAATTGCCAGACTCCTGTGACGTCCACATCACCAAATGTGTGCTGATTATAGTAATGCTCATGCTCACTATATTATATCAGCTCAAATCTGCCTTCTTCCTACTGAATCTTTGGCTGACTGACTGTGGACATAATTGTTTGCATATGTTGTCAAAAACGTATGGGTAGTTAGTGTGAATTATCCAGAATGCTTAAAAGCACTAGTGGAGCCTGGGCTGCTTGTGTTTTCATTCTTTCTGAGCATCTCAAGTCTGTGAGTTGAACTCAAGCTCCTGCTCTGCCTTAAAAGCCTAGCTGTATACATCCTCCCTTTTAATCAACATGAGCTAACTTGGGGTTGTGTCGCGCAGTCACAAAAACATCAGCTTTGTCAGGTAAGCAGATAGCACTCTTATATGTGCCAACAGCAGGGAAACGAGTGAGATGTGAATGTATGCCATAGCCACTGAAGTTTAAAACCAAGTGTATTGTCATCAGCTAATACAGTTTCATTTTCTACTAGCACACTCGGTGCAATTTAAGAGGTTAAGAAGTAGATACATGTCCCGTTCTTGTATCCTTTCTATGGCACCTATCATTTGTGGTATCACGACTGGAAGCAGAGCAAGGGATGGTGACTGTGCAACCATTCCAGTTAAATCTGCCTATGATGGGTGTATTAAAGATCTCGGACTGGTCAACCCGAGTCAAGAATTCATCTGCTTTTTAACTTTATTGTATTTTTTACTCTGTAGACATTCTCCTTGGCTTTAGACCTCCTTGCACATTTCATTCTTAGACATACCTGATTGCAGGCAGAGAGTTAATCAGGAAGCAGAAGTATGGGGAAGCTCTTTCTCAGCCTTCCAGTGTTTTAGTGTTTGTGCACTTCAGGCCAGATACTTGGAATCTTGGGTCTTTCTTAAGAAAGAGGGGTTTGTTTTATTTTTACTTTTCCATGATAAAAAAAGTCTACAAAGATATGAATGTCTTGGCAGCTTTGCCAAGCTTTGAACCTTATATTTCAAAGATGGATCCTTTCCTACCCCACATCTCCCTTGCTATACTCACCCAACACTCAGTACACATCTCCTTTACTATACTGAGCCAACACTCAGTAACAATGGGCTTTCCCTTGCTTTGCTGCAGCTAACTGTTCGTGGACTACTAGTGACAATAAAAGTGTATCTTGTCATCTTTAGGTGATGGTGCTAATGATGTCAGCATGATCCAAGTGGCAGATGTTGGTGTGGGGATCTCTGGTCAAGAAGGCATGCAGGTAATGTTGCTCGTTCACTGAAAAGCACTCCCATGAAAGGGTGAAATAGGTATTTCCCATATGTCAGCTTGACCAAGCCGCCTTTGGATAGCCAACACAAATAAAGGAGAAGTGTCAAGTTGTGCTCAGGAGTGCCAGTTGTGTGTTGTAAGGATGCTTTCAACTTGAGTTTGAGCTTGTGTTTGTTCTCAGATCTGTGGTGAGTTTAAACACGCTACCTTCTCAGAAAATTCAACTTATCAGATCCCTCTAAGCAATATGTTTTAAGAAGTCATTTATTAAATACTGGTTTAAAGGATGAAAAAAGCTCAGATATGCATTATTTAGGAAATGAAGGTTTGCCTTATTCTAGCTTTTATTCTCCTCTCTCCTGGATTGCTTGGGTATACTTCTCCTGTGGGGTAGCCGCACAAGCCCATCCAGCTGATGCAGCTTATTTGCGTGGTGTGGTGGTGACCCCTAGCCCAGCCACCCACACATCTCACTCACTCAGCCTAGTCAGACAGAAGAACAGTGAAGAAAGAGAAAATTGCAGCCCTTTGCTCTCTACACACTCTTCCAAGCCTTGGTTTTCTCCCCATTGCCCGCCACAGGGAACAGCAAGATAAGGGGACTTGCCCTGTAGTCTTTTGGATGTGTTCAGCCTGTCATCACTGTATTTACGACTGTATGAGAGGAACTTCTCCCATCCCCTGAAGAGAGGATGTATATGTATAGGATGTATTACCTACTGTATTACCTATTACTCTACTGCTAGTGCAGTTCAGTTGCATTGTTAGCATCAGCCATAGCAGTAAGACACAGAGAATGAGGAAGATACCTCGTTTTCATAACCTACCTTGTATTTGGGGTAGGTGCAGACTGATTGTGTGAGATAATAGAGTAGCTGAGTATATGTCAAAGAGCTTTTCAGAGAAGATGGGAAGTGTTTCCATCCTGAGGACCTGAGTAGATGAGCATGCTCCTTAACTTACTTACTGGTGTGTGGTTCTCTGACCCACTTGCATTTTTTGCAACACTGGCTGGATGTTTTGCTTGAAAGGGAAGAAGGGCCTCCTTCACACAGTGTGCAAGTTGGTTATAGAGTATTATTCCATGGGATTTCATGAATGCTGTAATTTATTTGGGTCAACACACAAATTTATGAAACAAAAATTTAACTGAGCTATGAAATCAGATGTCAACTTTGTGCATGTTCTGACATGCACATCACCAGAAGCTAGGACAGTACTCTGGAGAAAAGTCAGTAGATTTTTTTCTTATTTATTCATATACTGTTCTGAAGGCATGCTCTCTTGGCCATTGTTGGAGGCAGGATACTAGGGAAGATGGGCTTCAGCCTGACCCAGCAGAACTATTACACTTGTTCTCCTTCTTGTAATCATCCAGTGGGTTCAGTCAAAGTAATCTCCAGGGCAAATGGATGTCCATCGGTGCTCTTCAAACAGACAGATTGCAGGCCTGCAATCCGTTAAAAATGCTTCTCCAAACTGTTAGCAGCTGTAAATTAGACTGGAAAGAAGCTACCACAAAAATATTCAGATATTTATTGTGCATATGGCATCCCAGCCATAGACCCTAGAAGTGTGACTTTCATGGCCGGACAGGGCAGGAGAAAAGAAAGTCTTGCATTAAGCTGATACCAAGTGTATTTGTTGTTCCACAGCCTTCACCAGGCTCCAAGAGCTTTGCATAACTTCTGCACTATCACTCTGCAGGCAGTCCAGGCTCAAGCCCAGAGGAGACTGTTTTTGTGGGGTCCCCTCCAAGCCTATCAGTTCAAAAAAGTCTGCCCCAAACTCCTTAGGTCTTACCATCTCCTATGAACTTACCAGCTCCTATCATCTATGTATTAATTCAGATCACTCTTTTTCCTAATGCAGGCATATAGTGCTCATAGCACTTTTTTTACTCCTCTCCCAATTATGTCACTTTCAGTTGAGCTCATACACTTCCAATAACCAGTCCTCAAATGCCCCTGGCTTTTGCAGGTGTATTCAAATCTGAAACCTATTTGATCATTAACCCATTAAACTACCTGGTATTTTCTAAATAAAAGTTCAACAGAGTGGAAGATGTTTATAGATCCCTTCCTTTGCTGCAAGGTCCTAAGGAACTGTGCAGGTCTCTTTACTGTAAACAACTGTCAGAATCTTACACATGCAGGTACTCAAAAGGCGTTGAGCATTTAGATGTCTAAACCAGCAATACTTTCTGATTTATTTTCTTTCCACATTCTGTGGAAGCATGTGGAGCATGAATCACTTTTTCCTGTGAAAAAGCTGGAGGAAAAAAATAAAAATGTGAAAATCAAGGGGATATTTTGAGGTGAAATAAACATGCAAATGTAATTGGATAACACTATCTTCCTTGCTGTGTTCCTCACTGTAATCAAAATGGAATAAAAAAAACCCCAACCCTACACTTATCACAATGTGTTGTGAAGTACTATGTTAGAAGCACAAATGAAAAGAAGCTCACCGTTTTGTTTTAACGTTGGAATAGTCTGAGATGGGGTGGAGGACAAGAAAGCAGACATAACACAGCCCTGTTCCCCTCAAACTGCAAGGTAGCTGTATGTCTGCAAGACAAGTCAGACTATCCTGTGCAGGGAGGTTATAACAAGTATATCTCAGTGCCTGAGAAATCCCAGGATGTGTCAACATATTAAAAAATATCCCAGTGCTTATATACATCTACTGCTTAAATTACATTATTACACCTTCTCTTGCATACTGTTTTAGAGTTTATTTTAATAGCTTCTACAAGCACTTACTTGGGAAAATTGAGCCCTTTTGATGATTTACCAAGAAAGGGAATTATGAAAAATTAAAAGGAAAGATGTCTTTCATTTTAAAATACAGCCAAAGTACACCCTGCAGAGTGTAAAGAAGACAATGCTCCTTTGGAGGTTTTTACCTTTCCTCATGTTTTTGCTGAACTGTGAGAAGAAAGTTGATACCAAAATAGAAAAGGAAATGTAAAATAATATTAAATGAAATCTTAGTGTGATCCTAAGAATAAGGAAAACCCTGAAACAACTGTGATAACACCATCATTTACAAGAAGGTCTCATCTAGATGTACAGTACCCTGAATTTTAGTCAGAAGTAGAGAGAAACTGGGTGATTTGTCAGTCTGCACAGTCCCAGAGGAGTCTCATCTAGTGTGATATTTTCATAGGCAGTTTTCGGAAACACGCGTTTTTAAAAATCCCTCAAAATACTGATATCTCAGGCAGCTCAGTAAACTTTATAAGCCAGGATTGCAAATGTAATTAAAACTAATATTTTCATTGTTTTGCCTTTCAAAGTCCAGTAATTATGATGCAACCACTTAATTGTGCTTTTCTTATTTATTCTCTGGAAATTCATTTTGCCCTGTAAGTACCCTGTAGTTTTTACAGAGAAAGATGTTACAGCCACCAAGATGTTCACACGCAGGCCCTGAGCCTTCATGCTCATGCAACTGCAATTGCCAGCCATTCTCCCACCTCTCACTTTTTGCTGCTGCTTGTCACCACCTGGAACACAGACTGTAATCTCCTTTGGGTGAGGACTGGGTCACTTTGCATGTTCTGCCAAGCTGCTGGGTTTGCTCACTGGTATTCCAAATCAGTGCAGCAATAGTTGCATTTCAGATTCACTGTAATGGATTTCATTCTTCATCGGTACAATTTCCATTGACTGTATGAGTTGACAAGATGACTAGATTCACTGTTGGTGTTGAAAGTGACACTTTACAATAATGATTCCAACTTTTCTTTCATTAAAGGCGGTGATGGCAAGTGACTTTGCAATCCCAAGGTTCCGGCATTTGGAGAAGCTTTTGCTTGTTCATGGCCACTGGTGTTATTCCCGACTCGCCAACATGGTGCTGTATTTCTTCTACAAAAATGCAGTAAGTGTTTGACTTGGCAGCTTTATGCCACCACATGTTTCCAGGGTTTATTTTGTGCTAAGTGAGCATTAGGTCAGCCTTCAAATGGTTTATAAATAAGCTGCAAAGAAATTTGCAGAGTTGAAAGGCAGCTGGCTGCCATTTGCAGAAATACAGGACCTGCTCCATAACAGCTACAGCATGATGCTGAATGTGCAAATTAGGTAACAGAAATAACAAGCACTGCTTAAGAAAAGTTTCTTTATAGAGCAGTTTTGCAGAATTCAGCTGGCTAGACACAGGAGTCTAATGCCAAAGCCATCCAGCATTGGCCCAAAGTAGCTATTGAGTGTTGTTTTCTCTTCCTGACTTTATCTCGTCATTGTTTATGAATCACTGTACATATTCCCTAGTCACCTGAGATAATTTGAGTCCTCTCTGTGTCTCAGATGCAGAGATTGGGAAGGTTTTTTCTTCATTCATCTTACTCCCAAATAACCAAAAGAGTTCATTAGAAAGGAAGCACACCATGGTAAAGAACAAACTATGGGTCTGCATTTCCTCCCTGGTGTATGAAATGGGACTTGGTCCAGTAGTGAGCAATGAGCCAATAGCCGCTCGACTCCTTGGCCCTAACAAAGGCCCTTTGCATTGATCTTGGAGTGCAAAAATTATTGATTGATGTGGGGGGTTGACCCTGGCTGAGTGCCAGGTGCCCACCAAAGCTGTTCTATCACTCCCCCCTCCTCAGCTGGACAGGGGAGAGAAAAATACAACAAAGGGCTCGTGGGTCCAAATAAGGACAAGAGAGATCACTCACCAATTACCATCACGGGCAAAACCAGACTCAGCTTGGGAAAATTAACTCAATTTTTTACAAATCAACCAGAGTAGGGTAATGAGAAACAAAACCAAATCTCAAAACACCTTTCCTCCACTCCTCCCTTCTTCCCGGGCACAACTTCACTCCCGGATTCTCTACCTACCCTCCCACAGTGGTGCAGGGGGACGGGGAATAGGGTTTACGGTCAGTTCATCACACATTGTCTCTGCCGCTTCATCCTCCTCAGGGGCAAAACTCATCACACTCTTCCCCTGCTCCAGCGTGGGGTCCCTCCCACAGGAGGTAGTTCTCCACAAACTTCTCCAAGGTGTGAATCCTTCCCACAGGCTGCAGTTCTTCATGAACTGCTCCAGCATGGGTCCCTCCCATGGGCTGCAGTCCTTCAGGCCCAGACTGCTCCAGCGTGGGTGCCCCTGCAGGGTCACAAGTCCTGCCAGAAAACCTGCTCCAGCGTGGGCTCCTCTCTCCACAGATCCACAGGTCCTGCCAGGAGCCTGCTCCAGCGCAGGCTTCCCACAGGGTCACAGCCTCCTTCGGGCACCCACCTGCTCCGGTGTGGGCTCCTCCCCGGGCTGCAGGTGGAGATCTGCTCCACCATGGACCTCCATGGGCTGCAGGGGGACAGCCTGCCTCACCATGGTCTTCCCCACGGGCTGCAGGGGAATCTCTGCTCCGGCACCTGGAGCACCTCCTCCTCCTCCTTCTTCACTGACCTGGGGGGCTGCAGGGTTGATTCTCTTACATGTTTTCACTCTCCTCTCCGGCTGCCGTTTCCGTGTCTCCTGCAACTTTTTTGCCTTCTTAAATATGTTATCCCAGAGGCACTACCACTATCGCTGATGGGCTCAGCCTTGGCCGGTAGTGGGTCCATCTTAGAGCCGGCTGGTATTGGCTCTGTCAGACATAGGGAAGCTTCCAGCAGCTTCTCACTGAAGCCACCCCTATAACCCCCACCCCGCTACCAAAACCTTGCCACACACACCCAATACAATCGAAAACTGCCTAACAAGACAACCAAGAATTCCGTCAGCTGGGTGGGAGTCACCGGCAGGCACACAGATCTGCTCACTTGCGACACCTACAAATCACCTTGGGAGCAAGGGATATGAAGAAGCAGGAAAAAGAGGAGAACCAGAGCTCTCAAACCTCTGTTTGCTCCAGAGGGCAATGTGTGAACTGTGAGCAGGGGACTGGATTTTATCCTCAATATCAGAAAAAAAGTAGCTCTCAATTTTGTAAAAGTTGCTTTCCAGATTTAATCTAATCCTCAATGTTTTTAATTAGTGGCAACTTTTTAATGCAAATTCCTCTTGGCCTGACTAATCCCCATCTGATCTCAGTCTGAAAGTAGGTATTTTATCGGGAGAAGACCATCATTTGCTCAAAATTTTGAACATCATAAGAATACCTAAGGGAGCTAAAGAATTAATAAAGCATCTTTGTGTTAAGACAATGTCGTGGTTTAACCCCAGCCAGCAACTAAGCACCACGCAGCCGCTCACTCACTCCCCCCCATCCAGTGGGATGGGGGAGAAAATCGGGAAAAAGAAGTAAAACTCCTGGGTTGAGATAAGAACGGTTTAATAGAACACAAAAGAAGAAACTAATAATGATAATGATAACACTAATAAAATGACAACAGTAGTAATAAAAAGATTGGAATGTACAAATGATGCGCAGGGCAATTGCTCACCACCTGCCAACCGACCCCCAGCCAGTTCCCCAGCGGCGATTCCCCTCCCCCACTCCCCCCAGTTTATATACTGGGCATGATGTCATCTGGTATGGAATACACCGTTGGCCAGTTTGGGTCCGGTGCCCTGGCTGTGTCCTGTGCCAACTTCTTGTGCCCCTTCAGCTTTCTCGCTGGCTGGGCATGAGAAGCTGAAAAATCCTTGACTCTAGTCTAAACACTACTGAGCAACAACTGAAAACATCAGCATTATCAACATTCTTCGCATACTGAACTCAAAACATAGCACCATACCAGCTACTAGTTAACTCTATCCCAGCTGAAACCAGGACAGACAAGCATGTTAAAATACCTTCTGTGGTCTGATCAGAAGCTGCATGCAAGCACCCTTCCAGACACAAAAGAAAGAACGAACTTGGACAGTCTGAACTGCTGCCTGAGCCTGAAATAGCAAGCAGATTTAAATAGTGCTGCACTGAGTGGAGAACCACCTGTTGAAGCACAACAGTGAAACGTGCTGGTGTTCAAATACCTGAGTTTGCAGGCTGGATCCTGAATGATGCTGAACATCTGTACTCCCACCCCCAGTGGTGTATGTTTCCAAGATATGCTCTGGCTTGACAGTATTGAATCTGAACTTCCAAGAAGTGTATGCAGAGCCATATTATATTAAAATAAATTAAAAAAAGAAGTAATACACATAAGACATTCCAGCAATCAGCAGCCAGAGATGTTGTTTATACATCTACATTTTTGTTCAGCTCTTGTAAAATCTTCCATTTCCTTTGGTACAACTACCCTTGATTATGTGTATTATTTCTTATGCCATTTTTAGTAAGACATTTTCAGAAGCTGCTGCCTCAAGGCTAGAATATAACTGAAAAAATCTCTTTGTGTTGGCTCTGCTTTGGCAGCCTTGAGAGCTTTCTGAGCAATACTTGTTGCTACTGACTCTAAAACTGTAGTGGGGTATCCAGCATATAGACACGAATATGTCTGACACAGTGCCTGCCCTTAAGGAAAGAATATTCAAAAATGAAAGATGTGAGCACCTGATCCTTTTGCAAGGAGACTGTTCTAGATGATTCTCTGCAGAGAGTCAAGATAGCTACCCTGCAGATGTTCCGTAAGTTTTCTGTTTCCTCAAGTGTTTTTTTCCTCATTTGCTCATATTACGAAATTTTCCATTCTCCACTAGAACCTCGCTAACTCAAAGTCTAAACTCCACATTGCTGCAGAAGCCATTTGTAAATTCAGATGACTTATCGAAGAAGATGTTTGGCTTGGTGAAGATAATAAGAATACAAGTAAAATATCAACTAAGACATAACATGAGTGGAAATATCGGAGCTTGATGAAAAGGGATTTCATGTAAACAAAACTCTACCTGCACAAGCATGCACTGCTTCTTCCCCTTTATGCATTATCTCTGCAAGACAGCACTGGACATTTTTTGACATATACTTCATTCACAGAGAAATTCTGTCTGGGGCCACATTCATAAAACAGTCTTGTCTGGGGGAAAAAAAGGAAACCTTTTTTATTTAAAATCTAATTCAATTTTTATGTAAGTTTGGTTTTACTTTTTCAGGAGGGTAATTCACAGAAGCAAGAGGGGGCATTATATTTGAAATTAAATTAAACAGTTGTTTAATCCAAATAAAATTTCAGGGGAAAAAAGTCTGATTTAAGCTTGATTACTGAAATGTCATTTATTTGTACAGCTTTCTTTGACAGCACTGCTGAGACCCATACTAGAGGTGGTAGGAAAATTTTCAGCTGACTGTATTTCCATCAAACTACTCATTTTTGTCAGAGCCAGACTGTTTTCCAAGACAGGTGAATTATAGCAAGGCTCTAGAGAGGAAAATTTCTTAGGTCCAGGATTAGCTGGATTTTGTTCATTTCAAATGAGTGAGAGAAAAGTATCTAAATTCACATCTTATTGCAATTCCATTTTGAGAAAACACTCAGGAAGCTTTGTTGGTTTTTTGGTGTGGAAAGGAAATAAATTTCAAAATCTCTTCAGTTTTGAAATGAAACTGCCATCTCCCAGCCAACTGTACTGAAGAGGGTAAGCTCTGGTAACTCAGTCTTGTTTTGGCCAGAGGAAGATATTTTTCCTGAAATGTATTTACAGAAACATTTCTAGAGGTGATCCTTAAAATAGGTTAGTTTATAGTATGGGCTCACAAACAGCGAGACTTATGTTGCTGCTGATATACAAGCCACTTCAACATAGAATGCAAACATTGCCTGAACATATATGTACAATACATCTATATATATACACATATATGTATACAGTTATGTACAGCAGGACTGACCCCCTTATTCTGTGGCAATTCCCCTTCACAAGATAGCTTACTCTCCTTATAGCGGTTTTCACTAAGCAGACCATAGCTTTTTTGTTCTCCTGTATTTAAATTTCAACTGCATTTTGGCATACAGATAGAACAGATCTGTATTTTCCTCTATATATCT